CATGTCCTTGACCGTAATCGAACCTGGGACCTTTCAGTCCACAGGCTGACGCTCTATCCACTGAGCCATACTGGTTTTGGCTCTATGATTACTTTCTTAGAGGTATGTTATTATTTGAACTGTCTATTTTTGTAGATTATTGTTAATTTACCTTCTCTGTGTCTTCAATTTCACTACAACATCTACACTTTTTTTCTAAAATTATTTCTTGGTACATTCTGTGCTTTTTGTGTATGTTATTATATCTCTGATGAGCTCTAAAAATTTCTAGCCATTATTCTATTCTAATGGCTGCTTGTAGTCAATTTAGCCAACAATCTATAATAACAAAAGGATAATATGCTAGGGCCAGAGGGAAGCCAGCCCAGGCCCTGGGTGCCTGTGGGCAGCTGGAGTGAAGCCCAGGTCCTGGGTGCCTGCCAGCTGCTGAAGGGAAGCTCCCCAGGTTTCAGCTGCCTGTTGGTGGCCAGAGGAATCTGCTTGGGTCCTGGGTGACAGAGGAAAGATGGTGCTGGTTGCTGGGGGAAGGAAGGCCTACTCTTGCATGAATTTTCATGCATTGGGCTCTAGTCTATATAATAAAAGGCTAATATGAAAATCGTCTGAATGGTGGAATGACCGGTTGCTATGATGCACAATGATCACCAGGGGGCAGACACTCAATGCAGGAGCTGCCCTCTGATGGATAATGCACTCCCACAATGCAATACCACTCAGCCAGAAGCTGGGCTCATGGCTGGCTAGCTCAAGGGCAGTGGCGGGAGCCTCTCCTATCTCTGCAGCAGTGCTACAGATATCTGACTGATGGGAAGTGGGCCTAAGCCATCAGCAAGACATCCCCTGAGGGCTCCTGGACTGCAAGAGGATGCAGGCTAGGCTGGGGGATCGCGCCCCCCCCCCGCCCCAAGTGCATGAATTTTGTGCACCAGACCTCTAATATTAATATAAATCTTATTACCTTTACTTCAACAAAGGAAAAAATTGAGATAGAAAATAAATAACTTGCCAAAATCCACATTGAAAGGAATTTTTAGGGGTGAAATAGGCAGGCCTAGAAAATTTTAGGAATGTAGGGGTCCATGGAAATAAACATAGGGCTATAGAGTTGCAAAAGGGTAAATTTCCATAAGACAAGGGAGCTGAAAGTGGCAGAAGTTACATCTCCCTAAGATAAGGGAACTGAGAGTAGCAAAAGGTACACAATTTCAGAATGAAGGAAAGGAAACCCCCCCATTCAAAGAAAGAGGAAGAAAAGCTCAGAGAAAATAGGAGAACAATAAGAGAGAAGAAGGAGGGAATCTCATGGAGTAGTTTCCATGAGACTTGAGCTTAGTAGTTGCTATAGTGACCAAATCAAAGGGAAATAGTGATCATCAGAGGGGATATTGAGGCACAAAAAGCTGAAGCCTTTTGAACTGTAGGGAAAAGGGCCTCAGTGGGACTCTTTCCCCCTGCCCATGTGGGAGTCTGTACTTGTTCTTCAATAAATTTCCATCTTTGCTATACCATCTTCCATCTGTGGTTTTACTTTTTTGATCCCAATTGGACAAAGATCCCAGGAGACCATTCTCCCCAGGGGAACACCATGCAGTTCCAGTTAGAATTCCCATTTCAAAATCATCATAAAATGTCAGTGATTCAAATCTCTCCACATATAAATCTGATTATGTATAATGTGGACCTTCTTTATCTTATGCTTTGTGTTTCTTAACCTCTTTCTCATATTTTCTTTATTCCTATTCTACTTTCTGTGTTATTTTTACAAATCTACTTGCATTTAACTATCTATCTAATCTGTTATTTAATTCAAGTAAGGTATTTCAATATTTATATATTGTAATTTCTAAAGGTTCAAAAGGTTCTATTTAATTTTTTTAAATAAATTTTTATAATCTCTCTTTTATTCTCCTTTTTTGTTCTATATTAGAGGCCTGGTGCACAAAATTTGTGCACTAGGAGCAGGGGTTGGGGGTCCCTCAATCCAGCCTGCATCCTCTTCAATCTGGGACCCCTCAGGGGATATACAACTGCCAGTTTAGACCAGATCCTACAGGCAGTCGGACATCCTTCTTATAATCTGGGACTGCTGGTTCCCAACCACTCGCCTGCCTGCCTGCCTAATTGCCCCTAACCGCTTCTGCCTGCCAGCCTGATCACCTCCTACCCACTTTTCTGCTAGCCTGGTCATCCCTAACTGCCCTCCCCTGCAGGCCTGGTCCCCCCGCCCCAAACCTCCTCCCTTCAGGCTTGGTCACCCCCAACTGCCCTCCCCTGATGGCCTGTTCACCCCCAACTGCCTTCCTTTTCCAGCCATCTTGTGGTGGCCATCTTGTGACGACATGGATGTGGCCATCTTTTGACCACATGGGGGCGGCCATCTTATGCAAAGGTGTGATGGTCAATTTGCATATTACCTCTTTATTATATAGGCTTTTTATTTCTTTAAATATTTTGCATATATAAAATTTATTTTCCATATTTGGTAATTCCAGATTCTGAATTAATTGGTTGGTTATTAATATTTATTTCTATTGATGCTCATTTATGGTTGCTTATTTCTATATTTTCTTCTTGAATTTTCATTGTTGATTTATATCTTATTGAACCACATCTGAAAGAATACTGAGGACATAAATGGGAGACTTTTTTACTCTACAGAAATCTTATATTCTGCAAGTTCCAGATTTGTCCTGACCTGAGACCACTGAGCTCCCTTTAATTGTATTATTTTATGATCAATGCAATAGTTTCAATTTTTGCCCAAATCTTGCCAAGGCCCAGAGGCATAACCCCTGGCTAGCAGTACTGATAAAGGCATCTACTTCAACATAAATCTCCCTTAAAATGTCTTGCTCCATTTCTCCTGTATTTACTGCATTCTACTCATTTCAAATGGGTACTTTTTCTCTTTTTAGAAATTTCCCTTATATTTAGAAAACACAGCGACTTATTAAAAATACATATTTGCTATACCTAATACTAAGCTCTGGTTACTTTATAGAAGGATGAAGAATTCACATTCTGACCATTCTTTTGATTTTCTGCTAGTTCCTTAAGACTCAATTTATTCAATTTTCAAATGTCAATATAGGTAATAGTTCTTGTAAATTAATTAAGAGTAAAAAACTCTACATGTAATGCACAACAAAATTATACCATATTAATCCAATTGGGCATTATATTGATCACTTAAATTTCTTTAAAAATTAAGCCAACATATTTTTAAAAACTATTAGAAATACAGATATTAACAATACAAATAATTTTCTATAATCATGAGTACAGAATTTTGAATGTAATAATCTGATTTTGAAGGTTTATTTGCATTCCAAGAGAGACACTGAGAATATATACAAATCAACAGTACATTGTTCCTGACATATATTAGTTTCTCTTTTCATTAATTCTATCTGTTTATTATTCAGAATATTACTTTTGGGGGGGAGCAGAATTAACTAGGATTCAAAATCCATTTTAAAGACTGATTTGAAAATTTCAAATTTTTTTATCTGACTATAAAAGAGTTACTGTTTTAGTTGTATCTTTAGAGTATTTGTTGTTTAGTTTTATTTAAAGGCAAATTAAATTTTCATGATTTTTATACGCAAGATAAATGTGTCAGTATGAGAGCCAGGAAAAATAATGTTTGAAAACAATGACTGTCAACAAATGACCATTTTAAATATAATTATAATTAATCTGATGTAAATAATCTAATGTAACAGTGCCCTTCTTGTATGCATACTGTGCATATGCATAGTACCTTAACTACAGTCAAAATGTTCTAACAGTTTAATATAATAGAAATAATTATTGAGAAGCCTTTCACTTGTTCCTGTGCCCAAAATATCTCCAAATAAGAATTGAGCAATATCAACTATCTAAAAAACTTCTAGGCCAATGCATTTGTTTTACCCATGACCAATTTTTGTTTAAGAGATAAAACTGCATTGTATGAATAGGTGAAAGGTTCATTTGCTTTTAGAAGGAATTTAGATATCTTGCATAAAAGAAATAAGAATTAGTATACATGATAGATTACTTTGAGAGCTCACTATAAAATATGACTTTCAGTCACTGCCACCATGCTATGCTTTCCAGAGCCAGACAGACAGATGGGCTTTTATGATTTTCTTGACTCTTTATATTTGTTGATAATTCTTGTAATTAATTTTTAATCTGAAGACTTGTATAGCAATACTTATGGATTTAACAAACTAAACTTACATTAATGAAGTACAAATGGTCCAAATATTCTTCCTCCATCAAACTTCACTGAGCAGTAATAAATATTTTTCCTGCTCAAGGGCTAATTCCAAAGCATCTTGGAAACAACATCCTTCACAATAATCACCAAATATAAAGAGTGATAGAATTCAATGTATTAAATCAACATTTAAAAACTCTCTTTCTTAAAACAGAAGTACTATTAATGAAAGGATACTTATTAAATACTGAGTCCTAATTCCACCTTATAATAAATTATTAAGAAACCCACTAGAAATGACAATATTTCATAATATTAGACCATCTTCATACCTATCTTCCCATATACACTGTGTATTCTGGCCTCCCTTCTCCAGTCAGAAACAGAAATTTTGGTCTGGCTGGGTAGCTCACTCAGTTGGAGCATCAATCCAGTCACTAAAAGGTTGCAGGTTTGATTCCTAGTTAGGACACATACCTAGATTGTGGGTTTGATCCTGGGTTGGGAAGCAATCAATTTATGTTCCTTTCTCATCTCTCTCTCTCTCTCTCTCTCTCTCTCTCTCTCTCTCTCTCTCTCTCTCTCATCAATAAAAACATATCAGGTGATGATTAAAAACATTTCTTAGAAATTAGAAATTCCATAGTTTTTTTTTCTAATGTCATGAATAATTGGTGTTCAAAATATAAACCTGCGATTATGCTTCCTACACTCATAATTCATGATCAAGTTCCTTTTGAGAAGATACTTGTCATGTTAATTTAAAAAATAACTATAATGAAGGACCTCACCTCCAACATGGATGCCCCGGGAGGTCTCTCTCCCTGGAGGTTCTGATCAGGTGGCCTAAGGGGGCACAGGGCTCTTTCTGTGATGTACTGTCCCTTTCCACAACATGGCGTGAAAGCTGAACCTTGAGCCTGCACCTGCATTTTCCTACAGCTTCTCAGAGTTCTGTGGACAATGGCCAAGGAGACAAACCATGCAGGAAACATCTAGGAGAAAATAAAAAAGGACACCACCTACTTATGACTATGTGCTAAAGACTGCTCAAACATGATCTCATTTAATGCTTACAGCACACTAAATTACCTTTATTTTACAAAGGAGAAAATTAAGACATAAAGAAGATATGCATATTTTAAAAATATATATTTTATTGCTTTTTAGAGAGAGGAAGAGAGAGAGACAGAAACCTCAATCAGCCACCTCCTGCACACCTACTGGGGATGTGCCCGCAACCAAGGTACATGCCCTTGATTGGAATCGAACATGGGATTCCAGTCCACAGACTGGTGCTCTATACACTGAGCAAAACCAGTTAGGGCGAGGATACACATCTTGCCAAAACTGACATCATCAGAAAATGTCAGAAACAGAACTAAAACTTCAGCGTGTGATACACAAGCCCTATCTCTCTCAGAGCCTATGTGTGAACACGGCTTAACATGTAGTACATTGGCAAATGTAATACACACTCCCAAAGAGTATGAGGTATATATGCTCTCCAACCAGTTAGTTCACAGTTTAAGTTACATTTATCATATACTGAAAGACACCTATGGGGCAGGGTAGGAGGCTCATTTTGTGACAGATACAATAATGTGAGTGGATTTCAGTTGTTTCCTGAACGTTGAAGAGAGCTTGGGAAAATGGGATAGATATGATTTGTCAGATGGACAATGAGAGATCCAAGGGGTAAAGAGAAACCATTCACCCTAGCCACCTTTTTATTTCTTTTCTCTTATTCTTGTCAAAGAATGGCTCTACTTTTTTGCTCAAAATAGCCTTCTAATCCTTGTCTACAAAGCCACATGCATTCCCTTATCAAAAACTTGACTGCCCGCCAGCCTCCCTGCGGAGCCCTTCTCGGCAATAGGTCAGATGAATGCATCCTCTGCAGCTTCTCTGGCAATGGCATTCCCCAAACACCTTTTTTTTTTTTTTTTTTTTAGAATTTTAAACTTTTGCCCCCAAAACAAAAAGAGGAACGTTATACCTGATTTGTCACTTTTTTGTGTGGGTGGGATTGCAAATTCAGACACTCTTTTGGCTCTTTCGTAGTACATGAAGGTCAAGGAATATTTAATGTATTAAGTGGCCAATTTGCCTGGTGGAATACAGCCTGGGGTATTTAGAAATAGCTCGTGAAAGGGATCAAGTGCACAGTTATGAGAACACAAGTAATTCCCTCATCTGTAATTGACAGGACACCTGGGCTGCGGTGTGCTGTTGCTGGTAAGCCGTCCTGGAGAGGATTCGCAGTTTCCCAGGGGAGAGCCTGTAGAGGAGGGGGGGTGGGCAGGCATCTCTTCACCTCAGAAAGGCCTGGAGGGGAACCGGAGCTTCTGTGGTGGAGAAAATGACAGTAATTTAAAAAAGGGGGTGGGAGAGGTCACATTCCTTTTTTTTTTTTTTTTCTTTCCTTAATATTTTAGGTTTCTCTATCTTTTGCTCTGCGCATTCACAGGGAAACCGAAGAGAATGAAACATATGAAGAACATGGCACTATGGAGAACATGGCACTGCCTGAGGATCCCAGGATGATGCAAAGTGGAATCGTCCTTAGGACATGTGGGTAGGAATTTTGGGGGGAGCACTAAGTGACATGAGGAGACAGGCTGGAAAGATGACCATCCAGAGATGAAAAAAAAAAAAAAAAATTGAGACTGAAAATTCGTGATAATCATTTACCAGAGGATGTATTACTATTCTTTAAAAAAAAATTCCTTTTTGATTAAGGTATCACATATTTGCCCTCAACCCCCCATTCCAACCCTCCCTCCCCCACTCATGCCCCCAACCCCCTATAGTCCTTGACCACTGGTTAGGCTCATATGTGTGCACATAAGTCCTTTGGTTGATCTCTCCCTTTTATCCCCACCCTCCCTTTGAGGTCCAACAGGGAGGGTGTATTACTATTCTTAGATAGTAATGCCTAACAATTTTTAAACTTCCTAATGCAACCTGATGTCATGAAAGGAAGTACATGTGCAATACCCAGAGCTGGAAGGGGAGAAGACCATCACAGCTTTTTGAATCACAGAAAGTCTCAAGAATACGGTAAGATAAGGGGGAGATTTGCACATAACATACACAGGTTCCTTGGTTGTGGCAATAACTAGAAAGTTACAGAGATTGCTTAAATAAATTAGCTTCTTTTAGAAATTGCTCAGCATTTTGCTTCTGACAGTTGCTTCTGACACACAGGCATTGATCTCAGCAGCTTTGGAACATACCCTGTTGGTCTGAGAGAGGCAGGCCCCATCCATCACTGTTAGAGGATGAATGTATTCTCTGTGGAATCCTTCAAAGAGCTGCGAGTTCACTTCCTCCCATTGGTGGCAGAGTGGGTTGCATTTGTCTGGTAATTGAATGTGACTCCCCACCAAGTCAGGAGGTGTGTTTAGCACACCCAACAGTGTGCATACAAAGAAAGATCAAGTTGGCGTGCCCCTCTCTCCTGAGCTTCAAGCTCACTGATCTCAGTAGAGGGTCACTGTCCCCTTTATGACAGCCTCTCGTATCCCAGGCCTGCTGAGTTTTCAGACGGATTCCTATTGTATGTGTACACAGACTGATGATAAGTTCACCACTTCCTTCCACCTTTTTTGTGCAGGGTATTATCTATGACAGATGAGTGCAATAAAGTGAATCCATTTCTTTTCCCCTCTTGCAGGCAGCACAGTGAGTTCTAACCAACAAAGGCACATTGAGGTAAATCTTTAACGGTGTCACCACATTGACTTTCATCATTTTCACCTTTCCTTTCACTGATTTTTATCCCCGGGGTTGTAAAACATAGCTTCACATTGTGACTGTCCTCTAGTCTTCAGTAGAATTAGTTACACTGACAAGAACATAGACACTCCATCACAGCTCAGCCTTCGTTGCCTCTCTCTCCCCCACAAATTGTATTTTATAGATAAAAGCTCAGAGTTTCAAAGGATAAAAAGTTTTTAAAAAGTTGAACTTTCATTTAAAAATGAAAATACAGTACTAGAACACTACTGAAAAAAATTTGATGAAATATTTAATAGAAAAGGAAAATGTTTCCCAGATCTTGTAGTAAGAAAAAAAAAAAAATCCTAACGGTATTATATGTGATTTTTTAAAATTTTGATTTTATTAGCACTATACTATATACACTGAATGGCCAGATTATTATGATCTCTGAACGCATAATAATCTGGCCATTCAGTGTATGTACTATATAATAAAAGGCTAATATGCAAATTGTCCCCTCAACCAGGAGTTTGACCAGCAGGCAGGCCAGCTGGTCCCCTCTCCCAAGCCAGGCTAGCAGGACCCCACTCATACACAAATTCATGCACAAATTCATGCACCCCCCCCTCCCACACACACACACACTGAGTGGCCAGATTATTATGTGTTCAGAGATCATAATAATCTGGCCACTCAGTGTATATGTGTAAAAATATGTGATTGCTTGCTTTTCAGTTTTCTTTTTTATTTACTTGTGAATATATTCGATTTTATAAGATTTAAGATTTATAAAGGCAAAAGGAAAGCAAACAGAAAATAGGAAATAACAAATCCCACAAGGTTTTTGTTTCAGACTGGTTAGCTTACATAAACAAACTTGTTTTTTTGTTTAATTATTCATTGCAAAAATAAAAATAGAATTTCAAAGAGGAGGAGGCATGCAAGAAACCACTACTGTGAAGCCACAGTCAATTCTATTCAATACCACTGTCCTTGCTCTCATTCAAATCTTCCTGTGAGATTTCCTTTTCTTTGTGCTCAGTGACTCACAATCTCTGTAAGAGAACCAGTTAAGGAAGAAATAAGCTAGGATGGTTGTTGGTAAGGACCAAAGGACAGTGTGGAAAGCCCCTGAATTGAAACGAAAGGGAACCATTGTGCATTATAAAGACAATCTGGGAAGTGATGTGTTTTCTTAGAGAAAGAAACAAACATGCCAAGACAAATATGTCACATGAGGAAAAAATTATTTTTTTAGAGAAAATTTGAACTCCAAATAGAACCAAATATTTAATTCATTAGAAAAAAAAACCACTATAAAATACAAGGATGTTTGCCTAAAGCTAGCTTGTGCCTCTGGGAATCTTGTACTTAAGATCCAATCAATTTGTGCTTGAACTAGTCAAGATCACATCCTGATACTAGGACTAGAACTAGGATATTAGTATCTTTGTATAACCCATGGATACAGACAATAGGGTGGGAAAGGCCTGGGGTGGGACCTGGGGGGAGAGCCAGGGCAGGCTAAAGGGGTCAATGAGGGGGAAAAGGAACACATATACTTTTAACAATAAAGACATAAAAATGAAAAATAAATAAATTATACATTAAAAAATAAATAGACATTATCTATCTTTGATAGATAGCATTTTTCATTAGATGCAAGAAGACTATCAGACCTATTCTGAATACATATTTGAGAATGAAAACAATATTTGTGAGACAGTTGATCTATATAATAAAAAGTAATTATAATAAATAGAAGTTAGTAAGATTGCCAGATATAGCAAATAAAAATATAGAACTGGCTCAGCCAGTGTGGCTCAACAATTGAGTGTCATCTCATGAACCAAGAGTTCAATTCCTGGTCAGGCACAAGCCTGGGTTTCAGGCTTGATCCCCACTAGGGTTGTACACTAGGCAGCCAATTGATGTTTCTGTCTCTTCTTTCTTTTTTGTTTAAAATCAATAAAAATATTTAAAAAAATATAGAACTGTCCATTAATTTGAATTTCACACAGAAAACAATTAACTTTTTAGTAAAAATACTTCTCATGCGAAAATACTACTCATTATATATCTGAAATTCAAATTTAACTGAACTTCTTGTATTTTGACAACTCTTAAAAGTAGGAAAAGAATTAGAGTAAGATTACAAATTGATATTATTGTACTTTTATTGGAAAATGGAAGGAAGAAAGGAAAGGAGAAAGAGAATGGAGGAAGAAAAATTGAAAAAAGGTAGGAAGAACAGAGGGAAGGAAGGAGAAA